TCGTTACCTTGTCTTTTTCTCTCAATTTCACCCTTAATTATTGTTAAATAAATTTAGTTTATCATTTATCATATCTTTTTATATAGTAATTTTACCCTGTATCATAATTTTTCTTTATAATATTGTAAGTTTATTCTTCATATTGGTGGTGCGTGATATCATGAAACGACGGCAAATGACAAAATCTATCCAAACATTGTATTTACGAAACGATACAGTGCAATAAAATACAATACGATACGATACATTATAAAACGTTATGTAACAACCATCCAAACAAGCTATTAATAATGTAATTTTTTATATATATTATCAGTACATAGAAGTTACATTCATAATTTAAATACGTACTATTAGAATTTTTCTAAAAAGAAAAAGAGCAAATAAAGAATATTGACTTGTTAGAGCACTTTAACTTTTGGAAAGTAAGCAACTGCTGTTATTCGTACTTGGAGTATAACTTCTCTTGGATAACTAGAAGAGAAGCGCCGACAGTGAACCCAGAGGCCTTTGATGCTTTGCCTAAAGTTTGAGAAATTGCATGCCGCTGTCACACTATATCATTATCATGAATACTATTGAAAGCTACTTATATTATTATAATAATTAGTCTTAAGTTACGCACAGACAATCCAGATAAATAAATATAAAATCCAATAATTTTTATTACGATTCTTCAAAGAATTATCAAATAATACATATTAAAAATTTATTAAAATTTTTCAAATAAAGAGGTTGGCATATTTTCTATTTTAATAATTTTCTTATTCAAAAAGCTTTTGGTAAGGATATTAATTTAACTCATTGGATCTTGATAAATAATTTTTTAGCTAAAATAATAAATGTTGCCATAATAAATTATAAGTTATAAGGAGAGATCTGCTTTAACATTCTTTATCTAAAATTGAAGGTCCTAAAGTTCCATCACATTTATAAGTATTAATTTTGATTTTAATTTGATTTTGGAAAAATCAGTTTTGAGTTTAATTTTTGAAATAAACTATTTTTTTGTATTATTTTATGTCTAAAATGGAGATGGCTTATTCATCTATTTATTTCTTGAGTAACTGCCGGGCTTATTATAAAATACTATATTAACATTAGTTTGATGAATTAGGTTAAGGAGCCACGAATCGATGCAGGTTCTTTATTTGTAGTTTTCTAGTTTTCGTTTAAGAAAGAATTATGGGTCCTTCTCTAATGATTGTTGAATTATATATAGGTAAAATGTTATTTGAGTTTAAATTAAATACCTAAATATTAGGAGTTTATACATAGTTCAAATTAAGAAATGTTTAATATCAAAGTCTTAAATATTAGCAGAATAATTAAATGACTATTTTATCTAAAATATCAAAAGTTTAGTTAATTTAGAAGTTCAAAATATTAGAAAAATAACTTAAATTAGGATTTTGTCCAATATAAAATGAGTAAAAAAGCGAACGACATTTCACTAACGATTTTTGTGCTTTTTAATATAGTACTATATACATTATGTTGATCTTAGCGTGGTCCAAATTTCTATAATTCCCAAGAAAAGCAGTCTACTTATAGAATACTATAGCTGATCAACGACCTTTTGGGTTTTAGGAATTAGGATCAAGTACTTCACTTCTACTCCACCTTGTACCTTTTTTGTTAATTTCTACATCTTTTAATTACTATAAAGCACACATCTTAGATAATTTATAAGATTTTCTCATGAGACCATATATTCCTTTTCTTACCATATGCGGAGTTAATTAAAGTGAGCTCCGTGAATTCAACCAATCTCATTACTTTTAGCTTGACTTATATTGCATATACAAGAAAATAAGATAAAATGCATACATACTCTACTAAGCTCTCCCACGCTCCTAAAGAAGTTATTCACCTTTCTATATTAGTTGTACTTTATCCATCTACAAAGCGAACAATTTATTTGTCATATAGCACTATAATGAAGTAAATGTTTGTAGCCGACTTATAAAAGACGTAGACGATTAAAGGAGAGTTAAATTAAAGATAACCTAACTCGGAGGTTTATAAATGCTGCAGCCGTGGACTTTATTCCTAGTTAAGAAACCATGTACTTCAAATAAGTGATTGATGTAAAAATTGCACGGGGCGCCTTATTTGGTCGCCCCTATTTAATCTATACTCATTTTTTAAAAAGTTTTAATTTGTACCCACTTGTTAAACAACTTCAGGCCTCTTTCTCTTCCTCCTTCGTTTTCTTCTTCTTCTTCTTCTTCTTCTCCTCCTTCTTCTTTTTCTTCAGGTGATATTATACAACTTCAAGAAACTCATATTTCTGAACACAAGTAGGCACAAGTGCATCTTCTTCACATAAAGCTAAGCTCTTGGATTTAGAAAACTTGATTTAATTGATGATTTGTCAGGGAAACCACTATGGCAAAGTTTTGATGAACTCACTGATACCTTCCTTCATGGTATGAGGATGGACGACGGGAAGTTCAAGTTGACTGCTTGGAATATTACCCAAAAGGACCTAAGCACTGAAGTGCATTCTCTAGGAGTTGAAGTTCAGCAAATACTAAACAAACTTCAGCTCCTAAAATGCTGAAGTTCAGCATATACTAAACAAATTTCAGCTCTTAGAATGCTGAAGTTCCGCAATTACAAAATAAAAACTTCAGCCAAAATTGCTAAAGTTCAGCAATTATTGAACTGAAGTGCATCCTCTGGGAGCTGAAGTTCAGCAAATACTAAACAAACTTAAACTCCTAAAATGCTAAAATTCAGCAGATACTAAACAAACTTCAGCTCCTAGAATGCTGAAGTTCAGCAATTACAAAATAAAAACTTCAGCCAAAATGCTGAAGTTCAGCAATTATTGAACTGAAGTGCATCCTCTAGGAGCTGAAGTTCAGCAAATACTAAACAAACTTCAGCTCCTAAAATGCTGAAGTTCAGCAGATACTAAACAAACTTTAGTTACTAGAATGCTGAAGTTCAGCAATTACAATACAAAAACTTCAGCCAAAATTGCTGAAGTTCAGCAATTATTGAACTGAAATTTTTCATGGCACTATGAACTGAAGTTTGCGTGATTGCCTTTGCAAGTCAGGCCAAACTTCAGGCAAACATATCTGAAATTTTGCTTTGATAAGACTACACTTCAGGCAAAACATTCTGAAGTTCAAATTTCAGACATAAATTTTTGCTACTTCAGGCCCGTATGTCTGAAGTTACCCTAAAAGTGGGTACGCTTGCAATTGTTTTTGTAAAGCGGGTATATGTTAAAAAGTGAACCAAAAACCGGGTATAAATACAAATCCCCCGTGATTGATTGATTGTTGCAAATGTGACTAATTTATAAACGTAAAATAAAAAAATTCATTTAAGTACTCTTTAGTTGTTACTCTATTTTTCCACATATCTATATATCACTACTAAAAAATCGTAAAATTTCGACGGAAATAAATTATCGAAAATTTCTGACGGAATTCATTGGAATTTTTAAAAAATATCAATTATATATTTTTTTAAAATTTTCGATCATATTTCCGACCAAATCGGTCGCAATGTTTGGCGCAAAAACTAATTTGACTCGTTTGACTTCAATTTCGACCGATTATCGATCGTTAGTTTTTTTAAAAAAAATAAATATTTAAAATGACAATTCCGACCGAATCGGTCGAACGTAATTTTTGGCGCAAAAACCAGTTTGACTCATTTGACTTCAATTCCGAACGATTATCGGTCGGTAGTTTTTTTTTTTAAAAAAATATTTAAAATGACAATTCTGACTGAATCGGTCGGAATTTTTTTTAATACCCTACCCGACCCCCGTTCCCCAAAAATAGAAACATTTCTTTTCTTCCTCCTTCTCTCATCCTCCTCCTCTATCCCTCTCGTCCTTCTTCACCATACTTTTCATTATAGGTAATGTATTTTTTCTCTCTCTCTCTCTCTCTCTCTCTCTCTCTCTCTCTCTCTCTCTCATTTCCTCCTCCGTTCTCCCTCTCCTCCCTTTTTCCCATAATTCTTTAACTTTTTTTTCCTGTTTTCAGCACTGGTTCCGCGTTGGCAGAGATACATTTCTTCTCCGGCTTTCTTTCCATCGAGGTAAGTATAATTTTAATTGTTATGGGCTTATTAGATTTTCTATATATGAACATCCTAGCTAGTTGAATTGGGTATGGTTGAAATTTTAGGAATTTTATTTTTTGAGTGATACTTAATATAAAACAAAAAGAGAGAAGAATATTTGTTGTTCCTATAGGGATTTTATTTTGTGAAATTCTTTTGTCACCATTATTATGTAAATTAGATTGTCCAATTTGTCCAAAAAACCTAATGTCATAAATAGTCACTCAATTTTGGATTAAACAAGAATATGTTAAAAAATTCTAAATCTAATTTTAGCGATTGATTAACTTATTTTCGAAATAAAAAAAAGTGCCTTGTTGGCATAAAGTAATTGAGAAAACAACGAAAGGAAAGAAGGAAAATAAAATTTCACTTTCACTTCCAACGGTAATTAAGTCAAAGGGATGGAGGACTATATATGCGTATACTGGAATAGAAGAAAGAAGATTGTTAAGAATTTGAAGAATTCAAAGATTGCAATTCAAAATCGTGGGTTATTAATCTACAAATAAATAAAAAGTTCTACATGCCTTATTGGATTGATATATTAACTTTATAGTTTATTAATTTTAATTATATTAACTAGTTATAATTTAAAGTTTTGGTGTAAAGCTTGTTATACTAGGTTCATTATTGCTTGTTAGTTTTATTATTAGAATGATATTAAATTTAAAATTTTTTAATTTTAATATTAAGATTAATTTGTAAATTTGAGAAATTATTAGTTAATTTAGATAATATGAACATTTAAGAAGCTATTCAAATTTAATTATTATAGTTAAAGACTTATATTATTTCGAGTGTTAAAAAATATTAATTTAAAAAATAAAATATATCAATTAAAGTGCTTTGACACAATGATACGTATATATCTATGAAGCCATTTTATCATGAGTCGTGAAATTCTTGGAGACAGATACCGTACAACATCAGAGAGCAAATGTGGAATCAATTTATGGTAAAAATTGATTACATTTATTTAATAATTATCGTCTTCATCTATTGTTACTTTTTTTATATTGCAAACAAAGTGTACATGGCATCCTCAGCATCAAAATGAAATAAATGATATTTTCGAGAAGAAGGCTGCTAATTGGATTAAAGATACTATGTTCGCTGCTCGAAATGCTGGTAAAATGCCAGGGTGGTTAAGAGAAGATATTTGGGATAAACTTCTTGCGAAATGAAATACCGATGAATGGACGAAGAAGAGTAAAAAAATAAAGGCAAACCGTGCCTTCAGTAAAGGTGGCTCGTTGCACACAGGAGGTTCGATTAGTTTTGCGGCTCATAAACTAAGATTGATAATTACTTACAAAAATTTTTCTTAGTTTTACATATAGAATTTTACGATTATAATGTCTAACTCATACTTTTTATTATGAAGGAAAAGGAAAGAGGGTGAGATATGAGTCATACTAAGGTCTTCGAGGAGATGCCTAAGAAAAAGAAGAAGGACGGTACAAGAGAACACTAGGTGGAGACGCGTGCGTCAGATACATATGTAAAATACTAACTTCATAATTATTTATGGTTTATTAATATTAGTTTGTTTACATAATAGTTATGTTTTCATTTCAGGAAGATTATCATAAAAGGGTGGAAGAATGGCAATAAACTCAGCCTCCTTCAACTCAACCAACACCTGATGATTTGGCTTCATTTTGGACAGAGGCAGCAGGTAGAGTAAACAAAGGCAAAGTCTACGGACTTGGAGTACGTCGACCTATAGGTCATCCAAATCCACTCTTACCCAATTTTTCTTCTTCTCAAAATCAAGAACATATGAAAGATATGAGAAAAGAAATTCTTGATTTGAAGCAACAATTGGACTCACAATTCGGAACATTTGTTAAGATGCAAAAATTCATGAGAAAATATGGGCAAGATCTATCTGATGATGAGGATGAACAAACTAAATCTCATTTGTAGTAGTTTAGGTATATGGTTTCGGTTGGTTGGTAAATTTGATTGTGAGAGACAAGTTTAGGTATTTGGATGTTTTTATGCCCAAAATTATTAGGTTTAATGAATTTGTTGGTTTAGATTGTATTAATGATTGAATTTGTTGGTTTAGATGTTATATTTGTTGATTGGTTGTTGGCGTTATTGTATTGTAATTGTTTGACAGGTGGTGTATCTCAAAATTGAGCAGAATTCTGCCCAATTTTACAGAAAATTCTGAATGATTTCCGACGGAAACGGCCGGACAGCTGTCCAGTTTTTTTTTTTCTCCAAAAATACCTGGATTTTCCGACCGAATCGGTTGGAAATGACAAAAAAATTAATTAATTTTTAACAGTTTTTGACGGATTCCGTCGGAAATTAAATAAATTTTATTTTTTAATTATTAATTTCTGACTGATTTAGGTCGGAAATTATATATTTTTATTATTTAATTTTAGATATATTTATTTTTATTTATATTATTACGACTGATTCAGTTGGAAATTTGAAAATAATTTGGTCGTTTGACCTTTTGAACGTTTCGACTACTTTGGTCGGAAATCACTGACGGATTCGGTCGAAAATTATTTTCCGACCGACCAATTTTGGTCAGAAAGTAGTCGGAAATTTGTGATTTCCGACCGTTTTGGCGGTCGGAATTCAACCATTTTCTAGTAGTATAACAAATTAAATACCATCGTTGATCTTCAATTCCAGTTAATAATTATAATCATATCTATTTTATTATTCCCTCTTGTGCAATATTATATATAGGCCAAATACATATACAATCCATTCAACTTGGCTCCATTTTTTATTTTGGCACTCTATCTCAACCTTGTTCCATTTTGGCCCTTCAACTCTATTTCTTATGTTTCATTTTAAAACAAAAGCTGAATCCAATGCACAAAAAATAGCGCGTGTGTATACACAAATGTGAAGTATAATAAATATCCAATTAAATGTTGCCACCTGGTTTTTTCATCCTTGTCAAACGGGTCAATACTAAAATACTCGACCCAGATTTCTTGGTGTCCATGATACTTTCAGTTCAACTTGAAATCCACAAGAACAAATATCCATTCCATTATGAAAAAATAATTTTCTTTGAGACATGGATTCATTTCAAACTTCAAGCTTATATGAAATAAAGGATGAAAAAATCAGGTGGCAACATCTAATTGGATATTTATTACACCTCAAATTTGTGTATATACACGCGCTATATTTTTTTGCACTGATTTTTCCTTTTGTGTTAAAATAAAATATAAGAAATAGAGTTTGAGAGCCAAAATGGAATAAAATTGAGATATAGTGTCAAAATAAAAAATGGATCCAAATTAAATGAGTATTTGGCCTTATATATATCTCCATCTTATACTATACATCAAAAAAGATTAAAATACCCTAGACCTTTGCCATAGAGACAATCATAAATAGAATAATGACATTGCTTTATTGACACTCTTGGCATGCTTTCAAACTAAAAAGTATATATACAGGATTTAGTATAGCTAAGAGACAGCAAATATGATCCAGATGTGCCTTGTGCATGAGACAGCTTATAATAATAGATTATACATATTATTTACAATAATTAGATACAATTTGCATTAAGAAAATAAGATTCTACTCAATTTAAGATAACACTCCCTTGTTTTCTGTGATAACAGGAGTTATTTTTGTATTGTTTGACGTGGGAAAGCACAAACTTCCTTTTTCTGTTTTTGTATCAGAAACCACTGCCTCATGCTTCGAGCTTCATCATTACTATGAGTTTGATTATATATATCAGAACAGGAGAAGAGCCTTCTAATATTTTTGTTTCTTATTCGGAGAGTTTGTCAGTGAATTAAATTGTTTTTTTCCATGGCAAGTGTTTTGCACTAAATTTTGTGGTCTTGACAAGAGTATTGCATGTGGGACTTGCTCAACTTTTTCTTGAATATTCCATTCGTCAGTTTACCTGTCTTAGTTCGATTCGACCTGAAATTAAACAAAAGTAATAAAGATTTTTAAATTTTGTGTTCTTAAAATAAAATATATATAATGTACCAAAAAAATCTTTGAATCTTGCGATTTTAAAACTTGGAATGTTGGGGTTAAAGACAGTCCCGGTCCTGAAAGACACGAGACTTCAAGAGTGGATTTCGAAACGAAAGACTTCGTTTACTTCGTGCAAAATTACTAAATATAAAAAGAAATATTCTTTTTTATACTATTAAAAAAAGAAAGTAAGACACAAAATATCAAATAATTTTATTGACGTGGCTTAGATATTTAAAACAAATCACCTAACTTTTTTGTCTTACTTGGAATTCAAATGCTAATCTTTCATAATTTTTGTTCATTTTATTGACTTAGACCACACCATTAAATGTGGACTTATCCAATTCTGAACTCCTAAGCCACTGTTTTCTGGTCATAATTCTTTTTTCAGAAGAAAATTAAAGTTATTCTTCCAAGATTATTCACTCAAAGATGTAAAAGTTGTTTTGGTTAATTCCTCCTAGACAAGAACACATTTGGACTAATTTAAAAGAAGTAAAAACCTAAGGAGAAAAAAGAGTTAATTTTGGGTTCCTATCATGACAGTGGAAGTCCATTAAAGGAAAGTCAGCAAGTATAAGACCAGAAATTGTTCAATAGCAAAAGAAGAATACAATCTGACTGCTCTTAATTAATTATGATAATAACAGACAGACCAATCCTATGCTTTTTCTGCAGGAATTTTTATTGTAAATATGATTTTTATTCTTATAAAGTGCCACTACTTTCATATCTGCACATTGTGCAAGTATTTGTCAGGGCAGGACCATTTTGAACATACTCAAATGAACTAAAACTTCGTATTTTACTCTTTCTTTTTCTTCCTAGTTTTTATAGTTATTTTTCTGTATTGGGACAGTATATTGACATCAAGTTATAATGTGAATGCGTAATTGCAAAAGCATTGGCTGATTATTAGAGTTTAATCTCAGGAAACTCTCTTTTTTAGTTCTGTTGTCAATTAAATTCTTTTTTTTTTTATACGGTTTCAAGCTGGAACATTTATAGAGATCTAAAGATCACACTCTCATTGAGCCCACAAAACAACGTATTTTAATTTATTTGTATACGCATATGCATTGTTTATCCTTTTAAATTAAGGTGAAATGAGACAAAGGAAAAAAAATCTGGATGGAAACGTAACTATTACAATAGCTCAAGTAGTAATTATTAAGTAATTAAGAAGTATTCTGGTTGCAGGCGCCGCTCGGTCTCTGTGCGTCTTGGGCATGCTAATTGCTATCTAAACTGAAACTCACATGTACCTGAAATTACAGTGCTGTTTATTATAGGGAATATTCAATTTTCTAAAGGAAGGCCATATAAAAGCTTTTTCAAACCCCAGAAATGACAGAAGAAACTTCAAAAAATGGACAACAAAATTATACTTAATAGTTTAGACAGTGATCATTCACTTCACTAAGGATGACAAACTGGGCAAGGCAGGGGAATGAAAGTCTTAATCCACAAGAGCTTTTTTGTCTCGTCTCGCTTAGCATTTTTTTCTTTAACCGAAGGTCTATCGAAAACAGCTTATCTACGTCCTTGAGATAGGGGTAAAGTCTCGTACACATTACCCTCCCCAAACCCCACACCGTGGGAATATATTGGGTACGTCGTTGTTGTTGTTGCCACTTAGCATTTTTCTTAGCTTTTAATCCGTCCTGTCCTGATTCGCACATGCCCGTCCCTGGGTGCATGGGACGGCTCTAACTTGCCTGGAATTGAAGTGCAATAGTGAGTCGTTGCAGTTAAGAAATATTTCGGCCGCTGGGTTGTCCCATTGGTGACCCCAAAAAGAAATGAAAGGAAAATAAGAAATTTTCACTGCTATATGACACTTCTTCATACAACATTGTTACTTTTTTACCTAAATGTATTACTCCTATACATTTACAATCTCACAGCTATTACAATACTGACATTTCATCCTAAATCTGTTTTGTATTTAAAATTAGCACCATTGTTAAGAAGCTTCTGAATTTGAGGCAGAATCAATCCCAGGATTCTCACAAACATCGAACCTGCAGACTGGGCAAACCCTGGAAAACCAGAAAGTAGGAAATCAAAGTGAGGCACAAGCTGGATTGAAATAAAGGGAAAATTCAAGACGGGAAATAATTGTTTGAACATACCGATTTACTTCCTTAAGCCATTTATCGATACAAAGCATATGGTACTCATGGCGGCAAGGAAGGACCCTCAGTTTGTCGCCCTCTTCATACTCGGCCAAACAAATGTGACACCTGCAAAACATATTACAGCTCGTTATACAGAAAAATTAAATGTAAGACTGCACTTTGCCACAAAAGCATGCATGTCATTCCTGGCCTTTGTTGCTCGGACTCTCCGAAAATGTCGTTGGGTGCGTGCCGGATCCTCCAAAAGTAGTGCATTTTTGGAGGATCTAACACGGGTACAACAACATTTTGGAGAGTCCGTGCAACATAGTTCGTGGCTATTGTCTCCTCTCATGGCACATAAATTCTCCCCTGACCCCATGCATTAGATTTGACATGCAGGGTTTTAAGAATAACATGTCTGAATAGATTGCTATATTGAGTATGATCCAAAAGTGCTCACACTAACTGTTTTAAATGAGAGAGGTAGAAGAATAGTTAAAATTATGTCATAATTAAGTTCAAAATATTATAAAGTAAAACTAGTTTATATTAGTTTTAATTCTTGGACTGAAAAATATTCTCCATATAAGGATACGACTAAATTGTTTTGGGAGAGACCACAAAAGAAAAAAGAACTAAATATTTCATGTTATTAGCGATAGGTTCTATACTTTTATGGAAAATTCAGTATCATCACTGAATTTTAAGGCTGTCAAGCTGTTAATGCGTTTGCCCTTTGAAATCCCAATACAAAGGTCAAAGACTACAGAAGGAAAATTCTCCCATCAACACTAGTTAATGTTAGCAGTATATATCAGAATCTGCGGAAACTTCTGGAGATGGAAAATTTGGCAGACCGAAATTTTAGCTCTGATACTTGGATATCCCGACCTAGTGATCATAAGGCAAGGTCTACTTAGAGTTGATACTTGCAAATAACTATCAAGAAAGATTCTTCAGTTTTAACGGAACCAGATAGGGTCTTTGATAGAGTTATAGATACTCGTCAAAATAAACTGGGAGTAAAGCTCATAACCCCTTAGGCAGAGAATTCTCAGGATGTTTTTTGTGAAGACTACCTAAGGATCTAAAATTCAGTTATGCCTTATGTTTAACAACTGGCTAAACGGTAGGTTTATTAGATCCCACTGCATCAGTCCAAAGAGGGAAGTTTATGTGACAATAGTTTAATAAAAAATAAAAAGAGATCAATTTTATTTTTATAAATTTTTCACAAGCATGCTAGCTAAGCCACAACTCATGCATGATGAAACGTTAAATTTGATTTTCCTAATAAATCCCAATAAATATTAAAATACTGCAGTAGTCGAAGGGAGAATCATAGAACTGCCAATCTACATGAACAACTTTATAGTTTCTGCTTCCTTTTCTTTTGTTCTGTTCTTTATCTTTTGCTTTCTCCGCCTTCTTTTAGTTTCTTTCTTTTCCTTGCTTCAGCGATTTCAGCTACCAAAGAGAATATTATTTGGAGAGGAGGAGGCAGTGCTAATTACTGTCTGCTAACATATAAATCTTAAGAGGCAACGTAGCTCAGGAAAGCATATCAACTATTCAACCAGTTAAGAAGACATACTGTTGGATATCTGTGGGTGCATTGTCTACAGCTCCTAACTTCTTGTGAGACTTGAGTGGAAACGAGTCCACAACAGAATCTGGAGCTGGAAGCGAAAGCGTAGATAGAGAAAGTGTGAAAGATTGTCGATGAATCTCATCCATGACCTACAAAAAAGAAACCAAGCCATATGCTAAATATGTCAGCTCAAAGTATTGCAATCACATAAGAAGCCAAGTATAGATACCAGAAAGTACTAGCAGGTCAAAAAATACTAGAATGAAAAAAATCAGTAACAGTGAAAACCCTCATTCCTTTAGCCTCCAATATTGCAAGTACATTCACTCTGTAACCTGAAGATTGGTAAATGCCTAGATCAACTTATTCTGGTTCAAACACAAGCCAATACCCAGTTTCCACTCCAACGAATGAGGGTCTTACATCCCTCAATTGAGTGTTAGACATACTCCATTGTCAAATAGCCTTTTTTATGATTCATTCTAAATCTATTGACTAATGTTGCAAAATAGGGCAGTAAGTAAGTAGCACAAGCTGATGGATGAAAAATACAGAAATTTTTCATGTTGCTTTCGTATTTCCTTCCAAGAGTTCATAGTGGAGATAACAGTAAAGTTGACATTCTCAAATTCCACAAACAGCATGGAGAGTTCATTATAATAATTCTCCAGAATGTGACATGAGTAGGGCAATACTAAAAGACGGATGCATAAGATTCTTAGAGAATATTAGTAAGTTGTCTTTCCTAACAAACCATACCCACCAGAATTTAAAACTTAAGAAGAAGGGCAATAGATGCTGGAGACATACCTCAAATAAGGCCTCAGCAAGCATAATTATTCGTGAAATACTTGCAAGGGTACTGAACTCTTCAGTTGTGAGTAATGGTTCACATGAACATGTACCATCAGGATGAAGGCCTGATGAGCAAAGATTTTGTTGTGGAACTCGGCTACCAAGGCCTTCAAGCACTCTTTCAGATACCTGTATATGTAATACAGATAGGTGAATGGGATTATCATAATGAATTCTAGGTAGGTTAAAATAAAAAGAACAAAAGAAAACATGAAACTAAATGCCCCAAGAGAGAAGTGTTATAAGTGCGAAGTAGTCCGTATCTAAAAGTAGCCTCATGATACTACAATGACTGAACACAAAGTTAAGATGCATTTTTGTGCTCATAAAAAGATATAGATTCATAATTACACATTTGTGCAAACACATAATGCTAAAAACAGTACACCAAAAGAAAAGGATTTTTTTTGAATTGCTGCCATCATAGGCAGTTACCTTTGATCTTTCCATGTAACACAGTATGTGCCTAAATAAAGAAAGATCAAAGATGTAGACGGAAAAAAAGGGGAGTTAGCTGAAACCAATGTTTTCCTGAGATTTTCTATTGGACGCGATTATCAAATAGATCATTAGGGGAAAACCTTCAAATAAAGATATTAGTATATTACATTGATCTACTGGAAGATATACCCAATAAGCGAAATTAAAATGACACAAAATGCAAGTTAACATCTAATATTAATATAGTGCGAACCATAAAAATGGACGATAAGCCTAGATAATCATGCTTTTGAGAGAGTAAATAGACTAGTAAGAATAACATAAGAGGATGAAAATAATTAACCATAGCATTTACCTTCTCCTGATATAATTCAGGCTCATTACGATCAGAAAAAGATCTTACTAAGCTAAACGTCCTTCTCTATAAAAAGAAATTGCAGGGATTGTCTATATCCAACTTAAACAGTCAAAAGCACTAAAATAATAGATAAAGTTCTTGATATATTACCTCAGATCTTGTTGGCTGTCTTTGTTCACTTCTGCTATGATTTCTGCCAGTCCCATAACCAGAATCAAATCCAACTCCATCATAATGGAGATCACCACTCAAATTAATTAGCCATCTGTCACGAGATCCTAGATCATCAGCATGACCAGTTGCAAAAACAATGGTTGGAGAATCACTATCCCTCCTCAAACTGCGTCTTGATATAGCATCCCAAAAGAGCCTCCTACTGTTTCTTCTTGTTTCTCGACTGCCTATATCAGCAATGCTACGAGATAAAATGTTGGAAGAGATACTCACCACATCAACATGTAGCACATCTTGAGTAGTTACTCCAAGCTCACTGTCCAACAAAACAAATCCAGAACTAGATGTTGATGCTTCTTGAGAGGCATCACCCTCGAGAAATTGATGCCTAGGTATAGAGTCAGAAGTAACAGAAATAGATCTAGAATCAGAAATTGACTCAATATCTATATCCCTGTGATTCTCCATCGAATCCCCATGTGAACATGAGCTTCTGCACTCCTCTGGCACCGAGTGAGAGTCTTCAGTATTCAAGCACGTCATAGATTCACCTTCATTCCCTGAATTGCAGGAACTAACAGCTGCAGTTAAGCTGCCTCTTGCCTGTGAAGAGACCAACTCTTGAGATGGTTGTTTCACATATGCAGTAGCTATGTAACCATTTGTCCAAATTGTGGAGTTATGAACCGAAAGAAGAACTAACCTGGTCACATACTGAACGCTTATCACTTGAAAGGCATGCACTATTGATGTTCACTTCGGCATTTATCAAATTATATTCAACAAAAGCATCCTCAATAAGACCACTAGTGTTTTCTGATGAGGATCCAGTCTCAGGTTTGGAACTAGCATGACCAACTTCTGAACTAAATGTTGAAGAAGGTTCTGCTACAGAATACCGGGAAAAATCACCAACCAGAGGTTGATCTTCTAATGAACTTCCCAGCAAATTTTGGGGATGAATTTCAAGCTGTACAGCATCATCATATCTCAATTTCAAATTTTAGGATGAAGATTATTACTCATAAAAGGAAATATAATATTTCATTTTGCAATAAACTTGAATTGCAAGCAAGCAGTTCAAAAGCAGTAAAGAATTATCTTTAATTTATATATTTATACTAAAAAGAGAAAAAATCCTCTGAAATATCAACTTCATTATGATGTTTCGAACATAATTATAATCAGTGGGAAATCAGAAGGATGCATGATATAGAACAGGACACTGCTATAGAATCAAATGCAAATCCAGGTCTAGAGAAACTACAGTCAAATGTGTCCAAGTCCAGTGCAAACTTGTTCATCCGAGGTGAAACTTCTTTTTTCTGCTTTAACTGTTCTTTGAGCAATACAGCCTAATAAAAACATTACAGCCCTTTTCTAATCAGAGAAGTTGAGCACACTACACATAGGCTGTAAATGTTAGTGATGCACCATAAACTATTTGTGACCTTAAAAATAGCCAGAAGTTATAACCAAGAGAAAAAACTCATAACGGTAATAAGCTTTATAAGCATAGTACGAAAGGGCAGAACACCATTTGTTCAGCAAGCCTATCCATTACAATTAACTATTAGTTTCTGGTAGACTGTTATCACATTTCAAAGATAAAAGGGACACTCATATCTAAGAACTGGAGCAACAACAGATAACTCTCAATGAGCAGCTAATTTCCAAGCAACAACAACAACAACAACAACAACAATCTAGTATGCTCCCACAGGTGGGGTATGGGGAGGGTAGTGTGTATGCAGACCTTACTAGCTGGTAGTGTGTATGCAGACCTTACGCCTGCTAGTAAAGGTAGAGAGGTTGTTTCCAATACTAATTTCCAAGCATGAAACAAGAAAAACTTTGGAGCTTCTATCGCTCTATCAATACAGCAAACTACCTTCTTTTAAATATCCCCGAGTAGATTTCCACAATCACAAATGAATTTACCAAATTGCTACTATAAACAAAAACAAGCCCTTCATGCCACCAATTTTACCACCAAAAAAAAAAACTAAAACCATTTAGGTTTCATTACACCAATCCCAGCTGGAAAAATTAAAAGAAAAGAAAAAGACTGCATAGACACCATAGGAACACAAAAAGTCAACTTTGGATGATCAGACTGAACTACTAGTATGAGTTGCATCCCTTTAAAGCAAAGGAAAAAGGTCAAATAAATTCAATTTCAAGGAAGTAACAAATTACCCAAGAAAAAAAAAGCAATCAATTGAAGCAATCCCCTTTTGAGTTTTGACCATGATCACAGTTTTGTTAATAGCATCAAAATCATCAAGAACACAAACACTTAATCAGATAAATCACAGCACCAATTTAAATAGGTACATCAAAACAAAAACCCAAAATAAAAAGATCTTTTTTTTGTTGTTGCTAAAATACACAAAAATATAGAAGTTTGAGAGAAGTGCCTCAAGGTCCGACTGAGAAGTGGAAGCACCACAAAGGAGAGAAGAAAGTTTGAGCTTAGTCCGTTTGAGTCTCGACCCTCTTGTTGATGATGACGATGATGATGCTTTTATACGACTGCTGCTCGAACCCATAATTGCTACTACTAAACTATGTTTCTTGTTTCTTGAAATAATGGAGATGATACCCCAAAAATAGATTTTATATGAACGAATGAATGAGCAAATTTCTAAAATTCGGATGCTTCCTAAGATGGTGGTCTCCTCCATTTTTTTTTTTTTTTTAATTTCTTTTAACCGTTGCTTTACTCATCACAGTTCAATTTTTACAAGTAACTTTATTTGGTTTTATTTCAAATTGGGATGGATAGGCATTCACCTCTACTTAGAAATTTCAGGTTTGAGTATCGAAAATAGAAAAAAATTCGGATAGAGCATTGATACGTGGATTTATCATAACTAGTATCTATAAATATACGTTACACGTTAATAATGACACAGTTTAAATTTTTATTTAAATGAAGGAACAATAAAATTTAATTAATGAGAGAAATTTTATATTTAATACTACAACAATCATCTAAATGCCAAAAAATATTGTTACATTAGCATAATACGTAAAATATGAAAGGAAATCATCAGAACATACATAAACGAATTTTGTTACTACCATAAAACTTAGCAATCAACCTTTTATTTAGTTGATCAACATATTCATTTATGCTAGCTAAGATAACTCTTTAATTTCTATCATATAATTTGCACAAATTGCGTTTTAATCTAATGATGAAAATATTTTCCTTATTAAATGCACTACTATTATCATTGGGGTTGATAACCAAGTGTTCTAGAAAAACCAAATCATTTTTATCGGATGCTTTTCTTCGTTCCAACAAGAAGCAAGAAGTCACTGAATGTTGGATCTGTTCTTACTTTTATAGTTCTTATCATTTGAATATTTTTCAGTTGCTGGTACACCACTTGTTCTTATTGCTAACAATATCATGCACCTTGATCTGATATTTGAAAGTAATGCATGACATAGGAATATAATTTTGATTCCGCTAGAGGCATCTACAAAGGATAATCCCGCTATACCAGAGTCGATTTTTTATAATATAGTCTTGAAAGTTTATTCTTGTTCAGAATTTAGCCTTGATCGTGCTTCATCAAACACTTGTATGACCTTCTTAGTATTATACTTATCTTTTTTACTTTGCGATCTATTTTTTTTAATTTCTAACACTCTTTTTATGGAATAAATTTATGTACCCTAAGATTTTTTAACTTGAAAAATAATTTTACTCATATGATGAATTTAAAAAATAATTTAATTGGATTCTCTTGCTAAATAATTAATTGAAAGATTTTATTATTTGGTTCTAACATAAAATATAATTTATTTTCTGTTGATTTAGATTCTTACTATTAATTCATCTCGTGTTTGAATATTTAACCTTAATTATAATTTTATCCACCATAAATTTTATTTTTAAAGAGTAAAAAGATCGATCTGACATTCTACTTTTAGATCTTTATGTTTGCAAAATCATTAGTAGTATTGGCTCTTACCAATCTTATTTTTTCTTTTCTCACACATTTATATTCCTAAAAAATTTCTTAGTTGTTCTTTAATAATTGGGTGTATTTTTCTATATTACACGAAAAATTAATAATAAAAAAATATTATTTGGTTAGGAAAGCAGTTCAAATATAATATAATAATATATTACCGTAAAGAGTTTTTTCTCAATTTCAACGCTTTATGCAGTCCGTTTAGCATTTCTTTTACTTTTTCTTGGTATTGAATATTATGGAGTATTAATGTATTACTAATATTGAGGATTCTTATGCAATTGATTTTATTAAACCTTCCTACATATTTTTAATAAAAATTCAATAGAAAATATTGTATTAATTTTAAAATCTTAAATATTAAAAAAATTAACATATAAGTTATTGTAGTCCAAAAAATAAGTTATTACAGCTATGTCCTTTCCCTGTGAATTCTTCTGTTTAATATTTTAGGGATATTTTGGTCTATCAATATTATATTCGTATTTTTATAATAATATAGGTTATCCTGTTTCAAAATAGATTTGGACAATATAATACATTTTCAAATTAAATTAGTAATAGATTTTTTTTAAAAAGTATATCCTAAAAGTAATAGGATTACATGGCTAAAAATGTGTCAATATCCCAAAAGTAATTATACTAATAGAAAATCTAACATGTCCCTAAAGATATTAGGTTTACATACTAACATGTAGTATTTCTATGCCTGAAAATAATTATACTAATAGGATTCCTAAAGGTAATGTAGTATTATGTCCTAAAACTAATAGAATTACAAGACTAATGTCTAGAAATCCGATTATGTCCTTTTATTGTGAGTTATTATGCTTAATATTAAAAGATTATTTTTGAAATCCAACATTTTATTCATGCTTTTATAATAACTAGTTCCTATGTTCGTGCTTTGCACGAATATCTTGATCAAAGTCGCTTGTCAAACATTTAAAAACGCGTTTAAGCAAAAATAAATTTTGTTCATTAGTATTTTATGTTCCTTTGATTCTTCAATACATATACAAAAGCCATACGTTTAGTGTTCGATTCCTCTTTTCTTTTATTTTTGTAACGACCCTGTAACGACCCGACCGGTCGTCTTGAGAATTTAAGTCCCGTACGGCGGCATAAGGACTTGAGCAGCTTCGTATTATGTGTATTGACTGCGTGCGTGGTTGAATTCAGTTACTGGATAATTCAGAGTGATTTGGGATACTTAGTCCCTAAAACGGAAGCTTAAATCTTAGGATTTTGACCGTAGTCGGAACTATATGAAGACGACTCCGGAATGGAGTTCTGTCGGTTCCGTTAGCTCCGTTTGGTGATTTTGGACTTAGGAGCATATCCAGATTGTGAATATGAGGTCTGTAGCTGATTTAGGCTTGAAATGACGAAAGTCAATTTTTTTGGAGATTTGGACCGGAAGTGGACTTTTTGATATCGGGATCTGAATGCGATTTCAAGAGTTGGAACAGCTCCTTTATGTTATTTGGAACTTGCCTGCAAAATTTGACGTCATTCCGGGTTGATTTGATAGGTTTCGGCATCGGTTGTAGGAATTTGAAGTTTCAAGTTCTTTAAGTTTGAATTGGAGGGTGATTCGTGATTTTAGCGTTAGTTGATGTGATTTGTGGGCTCTACTAAGTTCGTATGGTGTTTTAGGATTGGTTGGTATGTTTGGTTAAGGTCCCGAGGGCCCCGAGTGAGTTTCGAGTGCTTAACGGATCAAAAGTTGGATTTGAGTTCCTGCTGAAGTCTTCAGGCATCTGTCATTTTCGCACCTGCGGTGGACAGACCGCAGGTGCGTGATCGCACATGCGGAGAGGTAAGTGCAGAAGCGAAAAAATGGAGGAGTTCCAGGGGTCGTAGGTGCGAGGTGAATTCCGCATTTGCGATGCCCGCAGATGCTTTAGGGTCATCGCAGGTGCGCAAGGTCCGCAGAAGCGGAAGGGATTTCCGCAGGTGCGGCCCTTTCATCGCAGGTGCGAAGGCAGAGGGGGTAAGTAATTTGTGCAGATGCACACTTTTTTCCGCACAAGCGCACCCGCAGGTGCGAGCCTAGGCTCCGCAGGTGCGGAAATACCTGGGCAGTGGTTAAAACTGAAGGGCTTCGCGATTTTTGTCATTTTTGGACTTTGCAACTCCGTTTAGGGCGATTTTTGAGAGCATTTTTGAGAGATTTATTGAGGTAAGTCCCTCGTACTTATTTTTGATCAATAATCATGCTTCCCTATGTATTTTCCCACCTAGTTAGTGTGTATTTAAGGTGGAAATTGGAAGTAGGAGGCTAGGAATTTGGGAGTTTGGATTGTGGATTTGGAGGACCATTTGGTGTCGGATTTTAGTAAATTTGATATGGTTAGACTCGTGAGTGAATAGGCTTTCGGATTTTATGACTTTTACCCGATTCCAAGATGTGGGCCCGTGTCGACGTTTTAGGGCGAATTTCGGAATTTTTGTTAAAGTATTGATTTAATTAGATGAGTCTATTATAATTGTAGTTATGATATGTAATTGCTTTTGGATAGATCTGGGCCATTCAGAGCCGGATATTCGTGGAAATGGCATTCTTACGGATCGTTTGAGCTTGACTCGAGGTAAGTATCTTGCCTAACCTTGTGTGAGAGATTTTCTCCTTAGGATTTAAGTCATCTATGTTGATTATAGTATGTGTACGCGAGGTGACGAGTACGTGCTCGGACTTATTTATGGAAAGTTAGCCTTTTAGGGTTCTTATGTCCTTATATTCATTTTGTATGATGTTGTTCTTGATACACTTGAATTTCTATTTGCCAGTTTCACCTCTATATGCTTTGATTATAGATAATTGCTTTAGGATTCACTCTTACTGTCTATTTGACTCTTATTCGACTTAACCAAAGATTTTACCTCTTCTATCGTCGTGCTATATTTTTCATAACTGCTTATCTTTAATTGAAATCATTATTTTCTCATCCTATAATTATTTAGTCTTAATTGGAGTTATGATTATTTTACGCTGCTTATCCTTACTTGAATTGTTGAATATTTCTCGTAATTGCTCAACCTGAAAAGGAGTTTAGATAACCTATATCTTAGTTGACTTGCCATTATTTGGAACTATTTGACTCGTGTTGGCTTCTTATTGTTGACTTGAATATTGTGGAATCGTTGCTACATTTTTGTTTTGTTTTCCTTTGTTAAGCTGTTCTCCTTGTGCCTAGCATTCGTTACTGTGGTTATTCCTTGTGATGAGTTCTACCGTTCTTGTGATTTAAATTCTTGAGTTGATTTGCTCGCCGTACTTTGCATTTCTATCATTGTTGCTTTTGTACTCGTTGTGGTGATGTATGAGGTTTATATCGTGTTATAGTTATTATCTCTGTTGTTTGTTCTGCATATTTAAATTGGAACTACAGACGTATTTCGGGAGATCCCCCAGCACTGCATATTTATTTTGGGACTACGGACGTATTCTGGGAGATCCCCCAGCACTGCATAATTAAATTGGGACTACAAACGTATTCTGGGAGATCCCCCTGTCTTGCATATTTACTTTGGGACTACGGACATATTCCGGGAGATCCCCCAGCACTGTATATTTATTTTGGGACTACAGACATATTTCGGGAGATCCCCCCTGTACTGCATAATTAATTCGGGACTACAGGAC